TTTTGACTCATGTATTTACTTTCTACATAATCAAGGTAAGGTGACTCTGACTTAGTTGCTTTTAGATATTCTTTCCACTCATTGAAAATTTCTTTTCTTTGAGCTTTGGGGAAGGAATCATGATACTTGGCTTTTCTTTCGGCATTTTCAAGGGCTTGGAAATGGGCATCTAACTTTGACCAATGAATTTTAAATGGTTTATTAAGAACTCTTAACTGGGCATCACAAACTTCAAAGGTGGAACCTTCAAAATCTGTACGAGTAGGTGACTCTGGTTGAACTGGCTCAGGAGGGGCAGTAGGGGCTTTTCCATATCTTGGTTGCACTACTTGCTTTTGTTTTCTTAATTCATTAATTTTAAGATCAATTGGGGCTCTATCGGCTTCTAAATCTCGTTCTGTAATTGAGGATGACTCAGCAGACGAATGTCTAGCAGGAATTTTAAAGGACTGACTAGGCGTTGGTAACTGTTCTAACTGTACTGTGGACTTAACTGGCCTATCAAAACTAATTTTAACTGTACCATCTAAATAAGGTTGAATGTAATCTAAATCGTTTAGACTAGGTTGAACCGACTTAGGGGGGCATTCAGTTGTAAGAAACCAATCTGGAGGTAACTTTATATCAGACCATCTAATCATTTTGGGAACTGTGATATTAGCATTAGACGTATGACTCTGAATTAAAAGCGTTTGATTCTTGGGGCTTTTACTAAGGGATTGAAAATTCATATTTGTGCCTGTGACTTTATAATAAATTCTATAAATTAAAGCTAATGGTTGACTTCCTGGTAAAACATTATAACCATGCGTTTTAATATTTAAAGTTAAAACTTTTAATATATGAGGATCACTTAGACTAACTGTGAAATCTGGAAAACAATCGAAATGGACTGGACCATGGCTTAAGCTTGACTCAATAATTCCTAAAACTCCATCTTCGAAATCCTTAAATCTGGCATCTCTTAAACTTAAAAGAATTGTTGCATTATGACCTAACTTAGTTAAGGGTTTAACTGCAACTTGAACTAATCCTATATGCAAGAAATTATTACCCTCTTTTCTATGTTTCTTAATTGACTCAAGATTAAGTAATTGGCATGTTTCATGTTCTTTACCTAAGGCATAGACTTGTTCTACTGTCTTAATATGCGTAGTTTGCTTAAATGCATTAATTGACCATTTTTGCTTATAAATTTCTTTACTAGGGACTCTGGGTATATTCCAATCATTACAGTGTAACTCACTACTAGTTGACTCAAATTCTAATTGTTCTTCATTAACTATGTCTGGCATTGGGCACAAACTGTTTCTAGAACTAGAATAATTAACTGAATTGGTTCTAAATAAATGACTCATTTTGTTTACGTGTTTGACTTAAATCAACCTAATTAGAAAGACTCTTACATATCTTCTAAGTATAGAAAGACTCTTGGGTGACTCCTAAAACTTACTCTAAAGTACCTAAGACCTATGGGTTTCTCTCTCTCTCACCTTCTTGTGCCGTAACCGCTCAGGCCACTACCTGGGACTTATTTTTTGGTCCTGGGCTTACCTTACGTTCTCTTGAGAGATAGAACCTAAGGAACTAGATGACTCAGAGAAGACTCAGAAGTAACTTGGGAGACTGACTAAATTAGAAAAGACTTGGGAGACTTGCTAACTCAGAAGACTTAAATCAGCCACTTGGGCGATATGAGTAGCAAATTTAGACTCAACTCTTTTAACTCTTACGGCTCTGATACCAGAAGGGGACTAGGACCTATAAGAATAGAAGGCAGGCTTTTTAACTAGTTAACTAGGGAAGCGGATTAACTAAGGTGAACAATCAGAGAAGGGAGGAAGAGGATGATTGAAAGATAAAATTGGAATAACTCGAAATAAAATTTAATTAAAGCATAGATGCATAAAATTCTTAACTCAAGAATTGCATGAATGAAAATATAATGAATCATTTAAAGTAATGCTTATGTATGAAATTAGAATGTGTAGGACTATTAACTCAAAAACTCTTTAACTTTATTTAACTAGTGAAGCTTGAATAACAATGTAAAAACTTACAGAAATCTTAGTTCCTAGTGAAAGCAATGCCACGCAGGACACTCATACTCTCACACTTACAACACTCGAGCAATGCCACAAAGGACACTCACACTCCTAACTTAGTGTTGTCTCAGGTCTAGAACTCTGAGAGAACTTTGAAAACTGAAAGAAATTACAATACTTACTAAATCAAGTTAACTGTTGTTAGGTCCAGCTGTTGCTTCACCCTTTTAACTCAGAAATTACAATGCCACAAAGGACACTCTTTTAACTCAGCAAAGCATATATATAAGTCATTTTTCTTATGAATCTAATGTTGGCTCATCTCTCCTAACCCACTCATGGTCTCACCCTCCCTCATATTCGTCAAAGTCTCAAGCTCCCTCATCTCTCTCATGGTTTCATAGGGTCCATTCATACCTCCAATGCCATTATCCACTATCTTTTTGAAGTAACGGTCCTTAAACTTGTTAACTATTTACATTTTAATCTCTAACTCCGTTTTTTCAGTTTTTGTAGTATTTCAAAATAAAAACCAAACAAAAAACTCATTTCTTTAATTTTCAGTCAAAATTTATGATTCATTAAAAAAAACTTATTCAAATGAAAAAAATTAACTTCAACAATTAGACCTCATGGTGTGCAATCTAATCTATGAGGTTAATATTGTTATGTGGAGAAATTTGTTTGATGAGATGGACAATTTTTAGGTGAAAAATTAACATAAGGAGTTTTGTGAAAACAATTTGAAAGTTCATGACGTGTTAGTGTAATTTTCAAAATCTTAAAAATATAAACAATTGTTAGTGTAAACAACTCAAAGAAAAAACGTGTCTTCCCATAATGCACACATTTTTCCCAATTTTATATTGTATGCCCATGTTAAAAATCACTAATCAAACTTTTTTTTTCTTTTTCCTAATCTACCAAAGAAAAAACATGTCTTCCCACAAGTATCATGATTCATCTAGCCCTAATTAACTTTCTTTTATGTTTGGGGTCACTCTCTCATTCATGCGAGGACAGCCTTGACGGCTAGGATTAGGGTTTCTTCAGTTTTCTTTATTCATTCTTTGTGCCGTATCTCTCAGTCTTCTCTTATTGTCTCTCTGGGTACTTCTTGATGTATTGGGTACGACCTTTTTTTTATTCTTTTGTTCTTCGTGGGGTAGCTGTGTCGGCTTTCTTTCTAGGTTCCCAAGGAGGTAGTCGCTGGTGAGGGGTCTTCATCTTAACGCTATGGTGGTGACCACCGCCTCTTCTGCTCAAGAGGATGACAAGTATGTGGCACCAAGTGGGAATCAGAAGCGCGAGGAAACTGGTGTTAGGCATCTGATTGTCAGTGGCACGACTTTTTCTAGTAAGCATAGTTTTTGTATCGAAGATTTTGTTGACAAGGCGGAAGAGACTAGCCTCAAGGGGTCTCCAAGGTCTCCCTAATAATTCTCCTATGGAACGTTCGTGGGCTTGGCAACCTATGAACGTTCCTACTATGAAGATCTTTTTTCGGAAATTTCTTTAGGCTAAGAGGCCAATCTTGGTCTCCCTTTCTTGTCAACTTGGGTTTTGGATCAAGAAAATTGGAGGTGGCGGTTGGTGTTTAGCTGGATCTATTATGATGTTCATAATGCATTTTTGACTCTATACGAAGAACTATGATGCTTTCTTTAGATCATAGGAGGCTTTCTTTGGCAGTACCTGCGTAGTGATGGGATGTGTTTCAATGGTTTTGCGCAAAGCCGGTCCATTAGATATGGAGGCCCTATGCGAAGAGAGTTGATGAGGCTCTATATATATATATAAGTAAAATAACGAATTTTTCATTAGGGGTAGAGATTCACCTGATTTTTTAGGTTTCTTCTTGCAATCATATGATGGCTAATTCCAAATGCAACACATAATTTCTAAATTCTAATATATGTGAGAGAGAGAGAGAGAGAGAGAGAGAGAGAGAGAGAGGTGTGGTGGAGGAGCAGAGACACATAGCACGCTTTTTGCCTTGCCAAAGAGTAAAGAAGAATTTTTTTTTTGGACAGGAGAGTCAAGAAGAAGTGAATTTGGGGCCAAATGAAAGAAAAACGATTTAGGAATAGCAAGGAGAGCACGCTGCAGACACGCATGACTCACGAGTATTGTTTTTTAATTTGTTAATGCTTGGAACAAAAATTTGCACGTTAGAACACCAAAAATAATGTTTTGGAATAAAAATTTGCTTAGAACGAAAAGTAGCAGAAAATATATAATATAATGCTGGGCTTTTAAAAACATTTGGAGGCCTTGTGCAATACATACGTAGTGATGGGATGATGTTTTAAGGGTTTTGTGGTTGGGTTTTAGGTTTGTATGTTTTGTATAAGTTGTTTGACTCTTCTATTTAGTCAATAGCATGTGTGGTACTCTTTCTTGCTCCGAGGTTTTGTTTTCTCTGAGAAGGTTTCAACGAGGCCGTTATTAACATTCTAGTTCTTACCATGTGATGTTCCTTTCGGTTTTAATGAAATACAATCTTTTCTATATATATATATAAAAAAAAAAAGTATCATGATTCATGTGTTCTATTTTATATGGTTTGCAATGAAGACCGAGCAAGCCGACACTCGTAGCAATAAAATGGATTCAAGCTCACCACAAACCACATGTTAAAAATCACCAATTTTATATTGTCTCCCAAAAATATTTCTTATCAATACACACACATGCTTAGGAAGTCCATGTGCACGTTCATTTCTACATGTGTTAATGTAAGCTATATATAAACCAACACATCTATTTGAAACCATAAATATATACATATACAAAAATGTTTAGTATTTTATTTTTGTGTAACGAGTATCTACAAAAACGGTTCATTTTAATTTTCACCCTAAGCATCTGAAAACTCACGAGCGGCTCTGAGTCCCGCATTATAAAAACGTAATCTAATACCTGAAAAATCAGAAATCAAAGTAGCAGCCAACCTTCCCAATTCAACGAAAGAGTCCACCACCTGCGACCTTACCAAACATCTTTTTGTTTTGTCATGATGAAAATAGTTGACCCGGATCTCGACCGTCCATACAGAACCCACCAACGGTACAGATTTCGCAACAAAACTCCCATATGTAAAGACCACAGCAAACCCCGTGGATCTACTCTTTCCTCCTGGCCATTTGTCACACCAGACTCATACATCAAACAAATCCAACACAGACTGAGAGCAAGTATGGCGAACCAAGTCGCGGACCACCTCGAGCCATGGCGCGACCTCCACGGCAAGGTCGTCATGGTCACCGGCGCTTCGTCTGGCCTCGGCCGCGAGTTCTGCTTGGACTTGGCTAAAGCCGGATGCAGGATCGTAGCGGCGGCTCGCCGCATCGACCGCCTTCAATCCGTCTGTGATGAAATCAACCAGCTAACCATTACCGCGCCTTCTTCATCTTCTTCATCTTCTTCTGTGAATGGGCCTGGAAGCTCCAGGGCCGTGGCTGTGGAGCTCGATGTCAGCGCCGACGGGCCAGCTATTGAGAAGTCTGTAAACAAGGCTTGGGACGCGTTTGGGCGCATCGATGCCCTCGTTAACAATGCCGGTATTAGAGGTGAGCTTTGATTGTTGTTTAGGATTTTGCGTTCTGTTTTTGGTTCCTGAGAAAATTTTACATCTTCTTGTTTTGTGTGTGTTAAGTTTAACATATGTGGTATATTGTACTTGTGTTTTTGGAGAAAGATAAATTGAGGTACTAGAACCAACAATAAGATTTAGGCTGTATAGGAAAACCCAAAACTTCCATTTTTTAAAATTCGAAGATAAATTCAAGTTCTGGGATTTCCCTGATGCTTTGACTTGTTAAGTTTATCTGTATTCTTTTCTTGCATTATCATTGGTTGACTAGTTGTTGAACTCTAGAATGATGGGAAGTGGGCAGACAATAAAAATTTGCTGATTTTTAATATATTATTTGTGAGCTTGAATCCATTTGAGTGCTACAAGTATTAGCTGGCTGGGTCTTCATTGCAAACAGAGTTCCAGGGACAATGTAGATAGATGTCGATTCTATTCTTTGTCATGCCACTGCGCTTGATGTTAAATGAGATGAGTCAAGTAGGTGAAAGTGTAGTTCGGCGTTGATGACAAATGCAAACAAGGGAAACCTTTGCATTCTGTGTGGTTATGTTTAGTCCAGCACGTTCTGTGTGTGTCAATGACAAAGAACAATGTTCGTCTTCCACACTCTTAGACACTCTTGCAAGACCTGTGTCGGCATATGTCTGGGGAGTCATTTCATGCATGATTTGAAATGGATAAAATTTGATTTTAAGCGGTGGTTGTTTTCATATTTTAACATACAAAAGGTTCTATAAGAAAACAAAGATAAAAATATGCATTAGGCACTATAAAAAATTAGATAGTGATTAATATCATGCTCCCAAATTTAGTGTCTTAATATTTAGAGTTTGACCTTTATCACAGACTCACTGTTTGGGTATCATATTGTACCTCTGTGGCATGTCATTGTTGGTGTATCATAATCGCTCATTTCCATATGTGTTCCTCAGGTAATGTGAGTTCCGCACTCAAATTGTCTGAGGAGGAATGGAATAATGTTTTCAAGACAAATTTGACAGGGACCTGGTTGGTGTCAAAATATGTTGCTATACACATGCGCGACGCTGATCAGGGAGGATCAATCATCAATATATCTTCCATTGCAGGTCTTCATCGTGGACATTTGCCTGGAGGTGTAGCATACAATTGTTCAAAGATTGGTGTAAACACTTTGGCAAAGGTATCTCCATTGACTTAACATAATCTTGTTAATAACTTAAGAGAAAGGAATCATACTTTTTTTTTATCTGCTTGGCTTAGCTTGGCTTTTGGCCTATAATTGAATTATAACAACTTGAAGGAATGCACTGCCTCTTGGGGTGGTGGGTATTGCTCAACACAAGCAATAAAGAAGACCATTACAAAGTCTTTGAATAAGGAAGGGGTGGATTTAATAAGAAAAATAGACTTAAGGACAGAAATGAGCCTAGAAGTATTTCAATTCTTTTTTAGTCTACTAAGGGAATATTGTTATTAGGCCTATGGGACACCCTCTAAATTTCCTTCTATTCTCCTTCCTGGTTGAAGGAAGCTTTTGATTCTTGGTCTTTTTAGTTCATTAATCGCACTGTTTTAAATGCTAGAACACTAGTCATCTTAATGTGGTCTATCTTTTGTATGGGAATGGTTAATGACTTGAAGCTATTTGGCTTAGGCTGAGCCAAGTTACTGAGCTTTTACCGAAGCTTAATCAGAGTCCAATTTGAGCTTTGGCTCACCCCAATTGCATGAGTTCCTTGTTGGGTTAAAGTTCAGATGATGGGTTATGGTCAATCAACCAAATGAATCTAAGCAGGTCCGTGGGTATCACAACTCATGGCCCGCAGTTTGAGTTCGTGCTGGGCAAACACATACAATTTCACTCCTCGATATTTTTCGAAACTTTGCCTAGGCATTGTTTGAGATTTTGTAGATTCATCATGGTTTTAATTATGACTTGTTCTTGCCAAATATTGTGCTTTGTGAATTATGGTTTATAGGACAGTGTTGTCGAAATGGCATTGCAATTGATAAAAAGGGGAAACAAGCAAACAGATTCAATGTCCGGGAGCAATTTGAAGATGTATCAAATGTTATTCTTGTGGAAAGGAAAAAACTTAAGAATTAGAGAACTGTAGTTAATAAGAAATAAGAATCATAGGCACACAAAAGGTAGAATAAATATCTTTAGTTTTTCCACTTCAAATTCTTAGCTAAAATTGATGATAAGCACCTGCTTATTGCTAAATAGTCATTTGTCACATCGACTACTGGTTGACCAGTGTGTTCCACACCTATCCCGTTTTTGCTTTTGTTGCCTCTGAGAATTTCTGGAAATGTATTTTGAATTACTGATCTATTCAGTCTTACTTTTTTTTTCCCTACCATACATTTTGACTGTTAAAATTTCCATGCACTTGTCTCTGCACATGGTAGTGTAAGTGAAGGGTTCTAATTATTATTAAGTTTAACAGGTTATGGCTATGGAATTGGGGGTACACAAAATCAGAGTGAATGCAATATCGCCGGGACTTTTCAGATCTGAAATCACGGAGGGTCTTATGAAAAAAGACTGGCTACACAATGTGGCTATGAAAACTGTCCCCTTAAGAACTTTTGGCACTTCGGATCCAGCATTGACATCACTAGTTCGTTATTTAGTACACGACTCTTCTGAATATGTCTCAGGCAATGTCTACATTGTTGATGCAGGAGCCACCTTGCCAGGTGTCCCTATTTTCTCTGCCCTTTGAGATTTTATGTAGATTATACTCATGAGGAGCAGAAACGAGTACAGAAGCAAATAAACGTAGGAAGAATGGATATGGTACCAGCCCTACAAGTTCAAGATTCAAGAATAATAGAATGTCTATCGGAAGTAGTTTGGTCGACTTCGTGTTAGATTTTTTATGTGCTTATTGTGTATCTCAATATAACAGAACTTTGTTAGGGTGTTGGGGCGGAAATTTCGGGTCCTCCAACAAGTGATCTTGTAATCAATGTTGCAAAGCTGGACACTTTTTCGCTTGCCAACAATAAGGAAAAAAGGGACTACTTGCAAGAAAACACTCTGACACTCGAGCTAGTGAGTGTTCAAGTAGATGGTAGTAGAACAGTAATAATGTCATTTTAAGTATTGGCTCTATGTTCCATGTTCCTTGTTTTTCTCTTATGATCAGCAATTCCATAATGGACATGGTAGTGGGTTATTATGTATAGCTTGGCCATCAAGTCTAGCGATTTTGGAGAAAATTAGGAACACGTGTTGCTTGATTGTTTACTTGAGGAGTAAATTTTGCTCCTACACAAGGGTGATGCAATTTGCTTTAGAAATCAGATGTCTGGTACATAATCACTTTTTGTAATATAACATAACATCACTATGTTATTTGTGTTTGGACAACAAAATATCCCAAACTTGATCATGTTTATTTGTTTGACTTTATCTTCTAATTAAACAGAGAGTAATTGATCATTCCAATATTTTGTGCGCATTGTTTTAGCTTCTTCCGAGCCTGTTCCCATGGCAATACTCAGAGTAGGCTATAGCTAATAAGAGGCAGAATTATGTTGTGAAAATTGGTTTTGGCTTTGATAAAACTCTGATTTTTTATATATTTAAAATTTTACGTATTTGATGTTAAAAGGAAATTACAAAAATACGCCGGTGGGGAGCAATGTGCAGAAACCACTTAGGAACAACACCAAACGAAAGCCAAAGAATTATTTAGGGCTCCCTACTACTGATGTAGATTCAGAGACGGATCAAGGACAGTATGTCTTATCTGGTATTGGGAGATGCTCGCATTTGCCACCTTGTATGTCAAAAAGAAATTTTTTGTTTCTTTTTTTCCTGCTGAAGTAATATTTTATCTTCCAAATATGACAGAATGGTTCAGGACTTGGGAAGCTTATTGCATTCGCAGGAGCTCATCCAGTTCGCTGGTTCTCGTTGTCATATGCCGACATCGTGTCTTGAATAGTAATGTCCGTAAAAAGAAAGTAAAAGATCAGACTTTATCCACCAAAAAAACAAAGAGTGGGAAGATTTTTCTTATGTTAGTATTTTTACCTCCTATGGTATTCAGATTTGCCAGTCCTACTTCCATGCCATTGAAAATCCCCAAGCACGCATTGCAGCTGATCATTCCTGATGTTTGTAAAGCTCAGTGCAAGGTCTTGAATTAGTTCTATGCATCGTGAACAAATTTGAATGGTTTGCTGCCTTTCCAACAGATTGGGAGGATTGATCCTCAGTTGCATCCTTTAGAGGCTTTCCATTTAAATCATTTACCACCTGATAACATGAGTTGGTGATGGTTAGTTATCTACAAAAATTATTATAAATTAACTATACAAAAATGCTCTCTATTGTTGTCACCAGATTAGCTATTGCCTGGTAAGGTTGGGAATTGAAGTGTAGGAGATCCCACTATCAAATACCACCATGTGAAGGCCCTTGACACAAGTAGGCTTGCTACCAAAGCCAAGTTCTGCTGGTCCAGATGAGTAGTGTTTCCTGAGAATAAAATCATCAAGGTATTATCTCTATGAAACTGGGAAAGAGGAAAAATACATATATATATATATTATGGAAATGTGATCCATTTTTTGGGTATGGTTCAGGACTCGAAGTTCTTTTTCTCCTAGTCAGAGAACTTGAAGTTACTTGTCATAAGTTTAGCCAAGTTACTAAACTTTTATGGTTAACCAGAGTGCAATTTCAGCTCTGCTTAACCTGGAATAGCTCCCGTGCCAGCCCTCATATTCCACCAAACACCCATAAAAGAGACCTCAAACCCTCCTCCCACCCTTTTACCCTAGTTACTTCTCCATCCTTACTTTTCACAGTAACCCTAGAGAGAAGGGTAAGTTAAAGCTGAGAAGAGGTAATTTTTCATTACAGAGAAGTTTTGTGCAAGTGTGAAGGTATGAGTCTAGAAAACCTTGTAGTATTGTTGGTTGGGAAATAATTAGGATTCTTTCGGAAATCGTTAACAACAGTTTTGGAAAAGTATTTATGTCTGATTGTTAATTCAGTAATACATTCTGAAACTTTTATGGTTGAAATTGGACCGATAGAGGAAACTACTACAAAAAAATGGTTGCGTTTTGGGGTTGGTTACTTTGTCAGAAAATTCATGGATTCGGGCGGAGTTGCAGGAGAAGTGATTCAAAGTTAGGTTTGCCAGATTGAAAACCTAATCTAGAACACTCTGCTGATCTCGTTTTTCTACACCATGTAGTGAAGCCAAGCTAAACAAGCCCTCAAATTGTCAAACCTAAATTTGTAGTCTAAGTAGGGTTTTTACTTCAAAGTCTGAGACTGATTGTTCTTCAGCCCATTTCAGGAACTCAGGTTTGCTTTTAAGAAAAGTTATTGTTTGAAGCAGACTTAGGCTCTGACATTTTTAGGGAAACATCTTTGGGTTGTTTTCATACTTACAGAATTTCAGAGAAATTTTCCTGCACACATTAGAAGGGCATCACAAATTTTTAGAGTAAGAGATCATTGCTGGCAGATTTCGTTTAAAAGTTTTGAAAGGGCCGTGTAATATCTTTGTGTTTCTTAAAATCATGCAATTATATGATTATATGAGTGCACTTTTATAGGTTAAACTTACTATGTGAAAGGTGTGTGAGCTTTGGACACTCAAGGTAAGTAACTAGACTCGTTCTGTGTTATGTTAATGACTGGTTATCATTAAGTTGCATGCTGCTTATGTAAAGATTTGGAAAGTATGTTTGAGTTTTCTGAATTGTGTTAGTAAGGCTGCTCCAAGTAGCGATTACATTAAGAGCATGACATCGTAGTAAAGCGCATAGCATATGCATAGTTTTTGTTAGACAAGATGTTTTACGGGATTTCTTATTGATAGAAACTAGTAAATGTTTTCGCCGTAATAGGGAATTTTCGGAAATGATTTTGGAATTTGTTAAAATGATTTCAGGACCTACGGAAATGCCTATGGTAGAAAAATACAATGAAAGGTAAAAGGAACGGTTCATGGTGAAAGGACCATGCCAAAATTTTAAAGGTTTGAAGGAATGTATACTTGTTCAAGCGGTTAACAGCATTGCCTTCCATGAGGGGAGTACCAAGGATTTGAGCAAGAAAAGGAAAGGGTAAAATATAAAAGGATTTTGATTTCTTCTTCTTTTTAATTGAGGCATACATGTCATATAGCACAATTATTCTCATATAGCAGACATACTGCTTAAAGCCTTTAACTGAAGTCTTTGTTTATTTTGTCTATTTGTTAGTTACTGAGTTATGCTCATTAAATGTTTCAGTGTGAGTCTCAGGTGAGAATGAGGAGTAGGCCGGAGCAACTGGCATTGGACAAAACCAGGGTCGGAATGGGATCGGGTGTTTTCACGTCTCACTTTAGTGCCCAGTTTGTCTTGATTTCTACAACATGGTCCCGTGGATAGTCTAGTTTAGGAGATTATTGTTAGTTTGAATTGGTTTCTTCTTGAAGTTGATACTTAAGACATTAACCTTATGTTGTATTTTCCATATTATGATCTCACAATTGAATAAACTGTTTAATTAATGCTCTCTGTTGTTTCCTTCTCACCAGAGTAACTATTGCCGGATAAGCTTGGGAATTGAAGTAAGTGTAGGAGCTCCCACTGTCAAAAATCATGTTAAGTCCCTTTAGACTGGTAGCCTTTCCACCAAACACAAGTTCTGCTGGTCCAGATGTGTATCGTTTCCTGAAACTAAAAATCAAGTTATTATCTCTATGGAAAATGCCATGGATTATGTACAGACTAGAAATAATGCTTTATCAGAAGGTAAACAGGACAAATAGAGACTACTCACCCCATGGAATTGGGAGCCATTGATGTCCATATGACTCCTGATGAAGGGACAAGATCAGCCCCAAAGAAAAGAAATCCTCCACCTTGCCCACTTAGACAGTGGCTGACAACATTTCTTGTTAGACCTAGGGACTTAGTTGTGACACAATACTGACTTTTCCATTACCAAGGCCAATGACTCTGGCAGTGGCAGGTGTGACCGGACCAAAATACTTCTGATCATATCCACACCTGCACACAACAGGAACAGAAAACATAATATGATTAACTCAGACTTAGAAGGTGAACAGGCAGTTTAGTTCCAAGACATTAATTCAACATGTTATGAGTTTTAACGTTCAAGCTTGATCGTTTACATAATTTTAACTGATGTGTTTACGTTTCTACATCAAACCACCTGATGGAATACCCACCCAAAGGCCAAATGGGGACTGAGGAAAGAGCCATTGGTGAATTTCAGGGGAAAGTATTTGTTCGGTTCATTTTTACACATGATTTATCATGTTATTCACCTAATATTTTGAGTTAGTTCTTGACATTTTATAGCTTTTTACTTCTCTTTTGTGTTTTCATAGGTTTTACCTCGGTTAGAATGAAAATGAGCTAAAAGGGCATTATTGGTTATAAATTCTGATTTTGTTCATTTTCGTAGGTCAACTTCTTGGCCTTGGATCAGCATGCTCTGGTGCTCGGATGAGGTGAAGATCTTCATGAAACTTGTTCCAATGGATGTGGACTACAACATATCCACATTTGAGCTCCATTGGATAAGTATAGCCTATCCAACTGATCCTACATGTTACAGCAACTCTAGAGAATTGTCTTGCTCCAGCTTTTACCTCCATAAGTGTCATCTTGATTCTTCTTGTTACCATACAATTTGGTAACAAGAAATTACTTTGGTTGAGAGATATTATCTGAAACAAAGAGCATATTTGAGAAGACAAGAACAAAAGAACCCCATCATGGCAAGGGGACAAAGGCTAAGGCTTTAACAAAGGTGGTAGTTTTATATTAAAAGTAAAGCTGAAAAGCAAGGTGAAGGATGGGCAAAGGAGCAAAGGGAGTGCAATCTGGAAATCATTCTATCATTCCATAATTTTGTAGAGATTTTGGAGCTGGAGATGAAGCTTGGAGCTAGGGAGCTCAAGGAGGAAGACAAGGGCAACAAAGCAAGAAGTGGAAGAGATTTCCACCATTGAAGACCTTGAGCTCCCACCATTTTCACAAAATCTGTAAACTCTTTCTAGTTTTGTTTTGAGTTTGTATTTGAAATAAGTATGAGGAACTAAACTCCATAGCTAGGGCTTAGGTTGAAGCCCTAAACATGATTACTTTATTGTT